AGCAAACCAAAAAAGCAAACATTGTCAATATTTTTGCAGCATGGGTAAAACAAAGAATTTTTCTCTAGTCTTGTTCTTGGAAGACATTAAACTGAAATTTTCTGAAGGGAACTCATCCACAGGCAGACACCAAATGCAAAATGGAAAAAATCTAGTTTGAGCAGCTACTGACAAAAGTTGTGAAGAGCTGAAAATAGGCCCTTTAGGACTGGAAGTTGCCTGGCAGCCTTAGCAAGAGATGCTGTTACAAGCCCTGCCTGCAGTGAGAGTCAAAGTGCCACCCTGCAAGACAGGTGACAATCGAGCCTTACCCAACTGCATTTATGGAGCAACTCCGACCAAGACAAGAGACCTCTGCCATTTAATTGTCCACCAGTTTGATGCCTACACGAATCCTGACGGAGACACCACAGCAATACTTCTCCCCAGGGCTGTGCCATGGAACATGGACCTGGGGAGCAGGGCCAGTCACACAATTCACCCCGAGCCTTCAGCTGATGATGCGGCAGTTCAGTGTAAACAGTTGGTGACTGGGCCCCCCAGCTGTTTGGATTCCTCCTGCAAGAGCCGACATAATTGTAGCCCTACTTGTGTCCTCAGCTTCTCCACTCCCAATTTTGCTGTAATGGACCTACCTCAAGTAATTAGGCCACCTGTTGCATCGCCAGATCCATTTAAGGGAGCCCTTCTGCGGTCGGCTTTACGTGGTTTGACAGTAATTGTGTAAATGGATACCGGTGTAATGGCACTGCAACATAAAAATTGCGGAATTATTTTAATCAATAAATATAATTACACGCTCAGATGACCATGAGCTTATCCGTAATTAGTTCTCCACGCCGCGATGCAGCCCACAACTCCAACTTTTTTTGCGCATTGCCCAATGCAGGACAGAAATTGCACTTGCTGATAACAGGATATTTACAATCAGCTGAGGTTTTACGGTGCAGAAAGATTTGGAGCCAGGGTTAAAAAAAAAGATTAAAAAAATTATCAGTTGGCTATTTATTTTGGGACCAACTCTGTTTTTATTGGTACCATGAAAACAGTCACCCTAAAAGAACATATCCCAACACACGAGGCATTTTGTGACATCAGCTACCTAAGCAGTTAAACCTGTGGTTTTTCTTTCAGAGCTACACAAGATTGAGCAGCTTGAAATGGGGAGGGCTGTAAACACAAGATATTCAAATGTCAACATTCTTAAATGAAAATACACATGAACATACATGCCTACACACACATCCACACACGTCAAGTGTGCAAAGGTCATCGTAAACTCTCCATAACATGAATAAACTGACCCTGACATCACCTGTAAGGCAGATTCTTTTTGTAACACTGGTCTTACGGAGGAGGAAATTCAGATATGGAAGTTGGGATAGCCCTCCTAAAGTACTCACAAAATGACACTTTTGTTTAAATCACAGGCTAAAACCAAACCTAAGCATCATCCTATAAACTGTTTTGCATTCATACATCACACAGTTTTATATCTGGTTTATGTATATAAATATAATATATTTTATATTTATACATAAAGAGAGAGAGAGATGGATGGGTTATTGGATTAGCAAAAAAAAAAATCAATAAATAATTTCACACAAAGGAAATGGAATATGAGAGAGTTTTACTACAAGGGGTTTATAAACTGCTGTGATTACACCTGCTTGTATTAGTGCCTCAACAGGTCAGTGTTGCTGGTTGGTTACAAAGGTGCTGCACTATCAAACACACTGGGAGACAAAATCTGAGTTAGTGGAGTCCCAAAAATGTGATTTTCTAAAATAAATCAGAACAGAATCTAACCCTGTTTTAGAGGTTCTTCTCGATAATGCCTTAAAGCAAAGAGTGGGGTTCCTTCCCCCTAGATAATATGGTAATTTTGGCCACTATTTAGCATGTTAGTGATATAAATTAATAAATAAATAACATAATATGCAATACAGACACAATATACAGAGAATATATTTATATGCTCTGGACTTTAATCTATGTATATAAAATATAATTGATTTTACATTAGGAAGGATTTTAATTTCACTATTATTCCTCTCTTTCTTTACACTTACCTTTGTGTCATGTCTTGAAAAGGGGCTCCACACTGCAACCTTCGTTCACACTCTCCACAGCTCAAAACTGACATTAATATCATGCTTATTTTTAAATACATCCCTAAATGCACAAAAAAATCAGTAGGGCATAAGTATCTTTTAAATACTAAATGAAATGGAATGAATTTTAAAAGACTCCAAAGTGATTTCCAGGCAAGCCCATTCAAATTCCAACAAAGTATGGACCTTAAATAAACTAC